GGTCCAGCGGTGCACACTGCGATCGGATCCTTGCGGTTGAGGTCCAGGCGTGCACTGCGATCGGATCCTTGCGGTTGAGGTCCAGGGATGCACACTGCGATCGGATCCTTGCGGTTGAGGTCCAGGGGTGCACACTGCGAGGGGATCCTTGCGGTTGAGGTCCAGGGGTGTACACTGCGATCCGGAGCTGGCCAGACAAGATCGGCGAAGCAGATTGGCGATGAAGATTGGCGAGGAAGGAAGCAAGGAGGAAGGAGGAAGGAGGAGGACGAGGAGGCGGCGGAGGCGGAGGAGGAAGAACAACTGTGATAAAATCTAACAACCCTCACCTGGCAGGTGGGGAAAAAACTTGTCAACCCTCTCTTGCGCTTCGCAATGCCTATAGATCACCAGGTTCAGTTTGTAATGTAGACGTCCAATTAATCAACGCCCCCCCCCTCCCCCCCCTAGAAGGTCAACAAGGTCTGAGGTTGAGATCACATCCCCCTAATAGTGGGGATCAGAAGATCAGTTTCACCATGGACCAAAAGATATTGAAAAGGCAAAAAGAACAAAACTAATTACACACACACACACATATATATATATTTAAGCAATTATATTTTTCCTGGTGGGAGAGGGGGTAGACTAATAGGGGGGATTTCAGCCAAGCAAAATTTTTATTAGAGGGTGGTGACTGATAGTTCAAATTAGTTTATTATTGGGGCCTGAACGCTGGGTAGACTAATAGGGGGGGTTGCCTAATTGGAGGTTGACATTATAGGGCCTAGGGCTCAACCAGCCCCACTGTCACAGCTGTAGCCATCTTACAGGCTGACCCCACGATCAAGCAGCTGCGAGCGCAACCTTGCTGGGATCTGGCGTGTCAGATTGCAGTTCACCTAAATGAGAAGCACGACCCCCATGCCGTGGCATTTTCTTGTGTCGCGGGAATTTGGACGATGCAGCTGTTCAAAACGCCTTGCTTCGTATGGCGGTAAAAGCGGGCAACCGTCGTCCAAGCTACAAGGCTTTGACCAGCTCCTCGTTCAAGACCAGCAAGGAAGAACCCTGTGAAGACGACTCGAAGAGGAGCGCTAGGGGAGATGATGAAGAGGCTCGGTATTTCAGGGGCGGAAGCGGAGGCAGAGGAAGAGCGACTTCACAAGAGGCCCCGAAAGGAAAGGGCGAGAGCGAAGAAGGAACGGTGCGGACTTTTACTGAAACTAAGGCCTTCAGTTCAAGATGCGCGCTTCGGATTTGCGCGTGTCACCTGGCTTCATGTATTATGCGCTCCTCCTTTGAGATCAACCCTGGAAAGGAAGTTCTGGGCTATCCATGGCAGCCCTTTAACATCTTTGGACCTTCACTTCATACGTATTCCGGTTAGCGTCTTCCCAAAAACATTACAACTTCAAAATGTATTGATTGACTCTCAAACCAGATCTTCATGCTGGCCTGCCCAAACTCTCAATGGCAATACGATCTTCATCAGGAATCCAGCCGCTGGTGGGCCGGCTCATTGTGGGATCTTCGATTCTCTGTTCTCTCACCGCGGTTCACCGCTGCATTGCCATGTGACCCAGGCTCCCCTTGTTTAATTGCATCTGGCATTGCTGCGTCTCTGCAAGTAGAAGGCAACTGGAATCCCGAGGGTCGAAATCCTTGTTCGTCCACTCCAGGTAATGCCAACGCTCACAATCTCCTTTCTCAAACGCTGTGTCATCGACAGACCTTTTTGAATACGCTTTGTGCGCAGTTCTCACCTCTGGTCACCTCTTGTTTCATCTCATGGCCATAGGCCCCACATGGCCCCAATCATCCTGCCGTCCACCTTCTGGTCGTCCTTCACTTCCTCAAAGATTTTCTCCAACCTCGCTTTCCTCGACAGCACGTAGACGCCCACCTGCTTAGGAAAGGTCTGTGAACAGCTTTGCCAAACGCTGTATCTTTCCTTGGCTGATTCTGCTCTCTTCCATTCTCCATATCACAGAAAACCCCAAACACTTCTTCAGCCACCTGCCTGTGCGGAACTCAAGCTCACCAACTTTTGTCCCCGTGCTATTCCTAGCACCAAGAAGCCATTCACCATATGGATAGGTTGATCTTCAGTGCCTCTTCCGACCGACCAGTCACTGTCGGTGTAGGCTTCAAGAAGTCCATGTCAGCCATCTGGCTCTCCATCACCAGATACTGGCCTAATGCGCGCTTGAGGTACCCGCTGAATTTTTCGAGTTTTGTTGGGCATGTCACTGATTAACGCAATTATTTCATGGTGAAGGAAACATTGGACGTTCCTGTGATTCACGCGACTAGGGATCTATACAGGCTCGAAAGGGCCTGGCCGTTGACACGCTCTCCGCATACTTGCCTGACACCCTTCTCTGTCCTGTCATTTGTCATATGTCCGGAAATGAATCATCCACCTGGATCAGAAGCCGCGTCTTTTCTCCCAGCCTTCCCATCCAGGTTTTGTGTGGAAGAGAGTAAATCACTATCTTCGCCCCACTTCGTGGGCCCCCCTTCACCTAAAAATTGCAATTTGGAGTACTCACTTGAGCTGGGTCCAAAGCTCCCAACACATAGAGTCATAGAGGACTCCTCCTGCTTATTCCTCCATGTTCTTGGACAAGTACACCGCTGGTAACAACTTCAAGGTCTGTCCTCCTGTCGCTGGGCTATGAACATCGTCTCGGCGATGTGTTGCGTATTCTCTTGCCACCAACCTTGATCTCTTCAACAACATCTTAGGTGTACCTTTGATAGCTGGATTGGGCTTTGCTCTCCAGTCCCTCGCAAATCGGGTTGGGGGCTTCTGATACCGTGCTCAAGCTGTCCTGTAGGGATAGGGCACCCCAAACGTTGCAATCTCTTCACCTCAACTTCATCTGCTGCTAGGTCTTCAACCCATCCGGGTGGATCTGGCCGAGCTCGCGGCCAAGGAGGCTTCTGAGCATCGTGCTGCGGGGACCTCACCTTCATCTTCCTCATCTCCTCGTTCCCTTTCAAGCGCCCGCAGCCCCCCCTCACCGATGATGTTATCCATGTGGTAGTATACCTTGTCCTCCACTTGGGTTGCCTCTATTCTTCTCTCCGTGCCCCTCGTCAAAAGCAACCTTCAGCCTCTTGGGGCCTGATGTTGTTCCTCCCAAATCATGGGCTTGTTTTTTGACGGTTGGCTTGAGCTTCTTCCCTTCTGACTCTGGGCTTCCGCTTGGAAGTGGTGCCTTCTGAGCTGCTGAATGTGATGTACTTGGCCTGCCGCAGAAGACTCTTTCTAGAGTCAGCACCTGCTAATTGCATACTGGGTCCTTCTACAGCCACGAAGGTTGTCACTGAAGCAGTCCAGCCCGTACACCACTTTTCTTTAGCCATCCAAACTGTCCTTCTGATACTTCAAACATCTTCAAGCCCGACCGTTCAACTTGACACTCAATGTGCGAACTTGGCCTTTTTCAACGATGGTTCTGAAACGCAAATGGAACCTCAAGAAATCAATTTTTCAAACACCGGCCTTGGCCATCCCGTCACAAAATGTGACCAACTGTCCTCAAGATGATGTCCGCATCCTTCACCCTTGATCTGCTTGCCCTGACATCCTGAAGGACTGGTGTAGTGCTGGGACCACTCCTCCAATAATCTTGAGGAAGGTCTTCCTCCCCCACGCTCCTCTGCACCTTGTCCTCCGGCATGCTCGCCACTTGAAATGAGCCATCCAAGTCTGTGTCCCGAAGATCAAAGACTGTTGGCTGTGAAACTCTGCGAACTGACTTCTGACTTCACAGCAGTAGTCGTGGATGGAGACGCTTGCCTCACACGCTCACCTTTCTGCACCCTGTCGATCTCCATAGGTGCTAGTCCTCCATAGTCCTGTTGCATTGGCCTCGAATTGGAAACTGCAAGAGTTCATTTGATTTGGCGTTGGCCGTGTCAAAAGCAAGATGGGTGAAGTGCGCCTCAAATTTGAGGATATGTGGAAGTAGGGGTGCTTTCATGTTGAAGCCGAAGCTGGGGTATGACATGGTCCTGTGCAACAGTCTCATTGCGCGATCTCATCCTGATACCCACTGTCAACCACAACTAGGTATTGCTCCACGCTCCAGCCCCAGTCTTTCCACTGAATCACCTCCTACCAAAAGTTGAGGGGTGGAATCAGCTTAGCCAAATCCTTCTTAACAACTCCTCCTGTCTGTGGAGACGCCGACGATGCGCTTGCTGCGGCGTTGCCTGCTCGCGCAGCAGCCTGCGCAGCTGACATCAGGGCTTGTGTCATCTCCAGTTAGGCCAGCTGTAGGGTCGAACCCTGCCCAAGCGCCATAGAATTTGCAGTAAAGCATCAGCGACCCTCACACACCCAAAAGAAAGTGGAAGACCCGTGAGCCGTCCGACAGCATGATCAGCGCAAAACAATCATACGTTCCACACTTGAAAAGGGAGGCGCTGAAAGCCGAGCGACAAAAACAACCATAGAAGTCTGCTAAAGCGTAATAGATATCAGATAATATCAGTGCTTCTGTTTTTGAAACCCATAAAGCCCTGTCCAAACATCATCGGTGGAGATGCCCATGGATTCCAAAAAGTCGGCTAGATCGTCGTTGCCCAAGCACCGCTTTATGTCCTGAGACGCGCTAGGCTGCGCGAAAACATGTGCGCCAAAACAATCCAAAACTGCACAGGTTGTCATCACCGGCCTCCAAGCTGATTTCGTTCACTTTCTCAAAGTCAATCTCACTGAAAACTTGCTTCAAAAGCTCTACCTGGCAAGCTTGCGCCCCCGTCGCACCTTCGCTAGTACTTATGCAAACAATGGCGCCTGTTGCGACCTTGCTTGGATCTGCTTGAGCGTTCGTACGTCTTTGTCTGCCCCGGCGCTGTCTATGGCAGTGTTGCCTTGCTTTTTTCATGGACGTGACACCGAAAACTCAGCTGAATCGCCAAACAGCTCCTACATTCATTCATCTCTTGGTGCCAACAAGCAGCAAAAAACCCCGGTAACTACATTGAGGATCGCAAAAATTGCTATCACCACATACAGCAGAAGAAGAGCGACCGGCACGATGGAGAACTCCCGGAGAGGTGTGACCAATTCCTCCCAATTCAAGCCCTGGGATATGGTCATGAACAGCGTCATCATACCTTAAAGGTGGAAAGAACTTCAATTGGTTGGCAAGCTCTGTGCATGTATGGCAAGCCGCGTGCACAAGTGACTGCTCCAAGAATACCCTCTCGGCAAAAATTTTGTGAAAGAGTGTTGACTGGTTGGTTGACTGTTGAAGAATTCATTCAACCCTCATGGCTGCTCTTGCTGGTCTAACGAGCCAGCGAAAGAGTGACTGAGCGCAACGGCCCAATGGGCCCAATGAGTGACTGGATGAAGAAGGCTCGAAGAGAAAAAACGAGCGATTGAACATGCTGGGCGCAAACGCGCCCTTTTGCCTTGCCGCCGAAGAGACGAAAAGCAGATAATCTCCCGACAGGCCGGGCAGTGCCCTGATTGCGCGCTATATTGTGTGCGCTCGCTCACACCCGTGCTCTCATCTGTGTGGTCTCATGTGCACTCTCGTGCGTTTGCTCTCATCTGTGTGCGATCAATGTTTGCTCTGATGCGTGTACTCTGATAGATGTGCGCTCTCGCATGTGTGTTCTTACGTCTTACGTGCGTGCTCTCATATGCTCTCACGTGTGCTCTGATGCGTGTGCTGTCATCTGCGTGCTCTCACGCGCTTGCTCTTGCGTGCGCGCTCTCACGCGTTTGCTCACATGTGTGCTTTTCGGCGCGCGCTCTCATGCGTGTGCTTTTGCGTGTGTGCTCTCACATGCGTGGCCTCACCCCCGCGCTTTCATGTGTGTGCTCTCACATCGGTTCTCTTTTTGGTTTGCTCACATATACGTGCCCTCTCATATGTTTGTTCTCTCATGTCTGTGCCTGTGCTCTTATGTGTGCGCTCTCGTTCACGAGCTCTTTCGCACCTGTGTTCTCATGCGTCTGCTCACATGTCGTGTTGTCTCACAATTGTATGCTCGTATACTCTTTTCATGTGCGTGTGTGTGTGTGTGTGCTCGTATGTGTCCTCAGTGTTCTCTCATTTGCGTGCTCTCGCGTGTGCTCTCGCACGTGTGTTCTCATACGTAGGTGATAACCTGATGTGTGCTCTCTCATACCTGCGCTCATGCCTTTGGGCCTTTGCCTTCATATGTACGCCTTCACATGTGTACTCTCACGTGTGCGGTTTTTCATGTCTGCGCTGTCATTGCTTGGCGCTCTCGTGGGTTTGCTCGCGTGCCCTCATGAGTGTGTGTGCTCTGGAGTGCAGAAGTTGTCTTGATCACGCGTATTCACCCTTACTATTCTTCCACTGAATCTGTTTTGGCGTCCCAGATTATGCTAGGAACAAATGAATGAAAAAGGTGCTTGACCTTGACGGACTCAGGCGTGAAAAGGAATATATACTCAGAAGTCAAAATCGGTCGAACCTTTGCAGTGCAATCCGCAGTCAAGCGCTCCAGTAATTTCCTATAGTTTGACTTCAGTTTGTGGGGGCCAAGCTATGTCCTTTGTTCGGCCTGACGATTAAGTTGTAAGCTACCGGAACCGGCTGCGCCATCACAACGTAAACAGGGTAAGTGAACGAAAGCGGGAAATAGAAACAAGACAAAAGAAGCGGGCAAAATACTTGCTAGGGTCAGCTACGCCACTCTCTGCCACATTTGCCCAGTGGTCGGTCAATTGTGCTGAGCACCCGGCCAAGGGACCCCCGACAGAGCTAGACTCTGTGCTGTTTCCAGGAATCAGTGTGCTGCAATGCTCGACAACTAGTTCTGTTAGGACAACCGCAAAGCTGTAGATGATCAATAGCAGAAGGGCCAGCGTCCAAGCCAACCTGATATGCAGAGGGATTCACTCGTGCCCACGAGCCCCATGCCCCGCCTACATAGGGAAAAAAAGAAAGAATACACGTTCAAAAGCAACCTAGACGACAGGGTGGCCCAAAAGAACTGCGTGATAAACATGCCATGGGTCTCACGCAGTGTGGCAGTCACAACAGCACGACGTTCTTTTAGAATGGTGTCTTTGAAACAAGCGCTACTGAGCTAGCAAAAAAGAGCAGGGCGCCAGGTGCTAGAACAGGAACCCATATGGGCGCACGAATATTTCAGTCACGACGATGAACCTGTGGATCTCCAACTCCAGGATCCCATCATCGCCGTGGTCGTTGTCCAATGGCCCGGAGCCACGCAAACACACTTTCCACCGCGTGCCAAAAACGCATGGCAGAGCGACGCCGCAGGCGCAATTTCGCCACGCGGTGTGCAACAGACTAGATACAGCAATGAAACACCAAGCCCGGTCACACCGCCAACCATCCTGCTCCACAGTGACCCCGTCTACACCATCATGTTCCCCTCAACGCACGCACAAGCACTTTCCACCAAGGCCCGGACCAATGCACATGGCACAGCGACGTCACAGTCACAGCAATGTAACACCAAGCCTCGTTGACATTGACACCTCCCGCTTGCCAGGCGCCCCAGTTCCGAGCGTGAGCTCTCAAAGCTGCTTCCCGCGCTGCAAACTTGCTAGTTTTGAGGCCGAAAGTTGTCAATCAGCCCACAACCACTACATTTGCGCTAGAAAGTTGCCACTTCTGAGGCTGAAGATCTATTGGGCCGAAAGGAAAAGGCCCTGCACAGAAACATGTTGCACCATCCATGAACGAGTCTGTCAATCACAACCTGAACGTTGTCAGGCAAACAAAGTTGCCAGTTCTGAAGCCACAGTTCTGAGAAGCTGCCAACTGCACTACATTTGTATTACAAAGTTGCCACTTCTGAGGCCACCTTCATTTCCAGCGACAGGGGCGCACTTTGGTCGCGTGTCGTGAGCATTGGCCGGGACACCCTCCGCCTTAGGGGACTAGATGTCGAAGTTGTAGTTGTGTAGGTGAGTTTTGTAGGTGTCTTCACCTGTATCTCTACACCTGTATCTAAACACTTGTATCGACACACCTGTATCCAAACACCTGTATCTATGTAGATCTGTTATAGCAGGCGCACCACCTGCATCTGCGCACCTGTGCGATGATGAGGATGAGGCCTGCTGCTGCTAATGATAATTATGATAGTGGTGGGACAGTTGAAGTTGGCAGCCGTTCTTGACGGAGAACCCTTCGCAGGTGCTTTCGGGGAAAAATACCATTGCTTATGACAATGGTCTGGCCATGGTTTTATCTGGATAAAACCATGAGAATAACGTTGAACTCAAAAAAAGTGATATTAGTAGGAGCATGAGGCATCTGAAGTCAACTGGTCTGAGGTTGCGAAGACTGAAAAGAGAAACAAGCAGTAACAAGGTATATATATATATATAAATTGAAATGAGAAGGGCTGAGATGAGAACATCTAAAAAGGACTGCAGGTGGAGGCATGCAGCCAAAGGAGGGTGAGAAGAGTGGGAAGGATAGGAAATTGGATCAACCTCAGTCTTCGTTGTCTATTCAGAGAATAGTGCAACGTAGAAGAGCTTGAGTAAAACTAAACCAGCATAGACCCAGATAGCTATGCAGCATCCCACGACCTGTTGACATGCGACTGGCTGGAACAAGAATGTACACAGCCTGCACGCACAGCCAGCTTACGGCGCCTCCACAGCGCGCGCACGTGCGCTTTGCCAGCTGACACGGGGGCGGCACCAGCACCCGACCAGCACCGCCGCCCGTCTTAAACGCGCGCTCAGCCACCAGCACCCAGGACCACCACACCAGCACCAGCACTGACACCCCTTCGAAAGCGCGCGCAGCCAGCTCATTCTTATTAAGTTTGCAGTAAGAACCCCATAGCTATCCCTAGTGTGCTCTTGCGCGTATAAGTTTATGCGCACACAAGTATGCGCGCAAACAGCAAAGCCCGTAAGTGTCATTGGCCCAAGGCCAAGCAGTATCCAGTATCCAGCGCCACTATTGCCTTTGTAGCACGCTTGAAGCAACGATCTGTAGAACGATAAGGCCGTATGATCTTGCCCGTATAAGTTTATGCGCACAAAAGAGCGCGCACAAAAGGCAAAGCCCGTAGGCTTCACTCGCCCAAGGCCCAGCAGTATCCAGCACGACTCTTTTGTGTGTAGCAGGCTGAAGCATGCTGAAACAATGGTCGGTTGAGAGCCTGACGTTGCGCATAGAACAGTGTACAGTGTACGTACAAAAGTATGCGCGCAAACAGTACAGCCCTTGACAGCACCAGCACCGGCACCCAGCGCCAGCACTGGCACCAGCAACCTGTCTCCACCACGCGCAGCCCGCTCACAGCACCATCACCGGCACAGGCACCCGGCCAGCACCGGCTGTCTCCACCACGTGCACAGCCAGCTCACAGCACCAGCACCGGCACGCAGCACCAGCACCGGCACCAGCAACCTGTCCCCACCACGTGCACAGCCAGCTCACAGCACCAGCACCAGCACCGGCACCACCAACCTTTCTCCACCACGCGCACAGCCAGCTCACAGCACCAGCGCCAGCACTGGCACCCAGCACCAGCACCGGCACCAGCAACCTGTCTCCACCACGCGCGCAGCCAGCTCACAGCACCAGCACCAGCACCAGCACCGGCACCCGGCACCCAGCACCAGCACCGCCAGCACCGGCACCCGGCACCCAGCACCAGCAACCACCAGCACCAGCACCTGCACCCGGCACCCAGCACCAGCACCACGGCACCAGCACCCAGCGCCAGCACCGACACCCAGCACCAGCACCAGCATGTCTCCACCACGTGCACAGCCAGCTCACAGCACCAGCACCGGCACCCGCCACCCACCTTCGACAGCCAGCTCGCAGCACCAGCACCAGCACCGGCACCCAGCACCAGGAACCTGTCTTGAAAGCGCACATGGGCAACTCATGGTTACTTGAAGTAAGAACCCCATAGCTTCGCTATCTGGGGAACAATCTGATAAATTTGAATGACCTCAGATTCTTCCTTTTCATGCAGAGTTCTTCTGTATGGATTTTGGAGGTTCCAACATGTTCCAAAAGTCACCTGCTTGAACGTCAAAAAGTCATAAACAAACATGTTGATTTTGATAACTGCTCCTCAAATCTGAAACAAATGGGCTTTAGAAGCGCGTTCCAATGCATTCCATCCTTTGACTTTGACAACGATTTAGAAAAACCTAGTACACATTGCTTTTGCCCACGCAGGAAGAAGGAGCTCAGTTCAACCTACATGGCCTGACATGTTGGTACTTGCATGCAGGACGCAAAATTGCTGGCAAGGACGTCACGCAAATTGTCACGGCTGCAAAGTTTGATCAGGGTGGGAAGGTGTGGGCTCTAGAGGACCTAGAGGTAAATAGAGGAAACAGTTTCATCTAAATTCCGTTCACATCTTTAAAGAAGTGCCCATCTTTTCAACTGCCCTTGAAACCCTCGACCTTTGGGGCACTTCAGACACCACAGTGGAGAAGAAGGACTCCGGGGGTGGCAGGATGGGGATTCCAAATATTCCCATCTGTGGTTTCCCTCAAGCCCAGCCTCAATCCCAATCCGAATTATGTGCAGTCATTTGCATTCATTGTGTTTGTCACGGGGCAGAGTTCTACGGCGTTCTACGGAAGTCAAAGGGGATGAACATCACAGCGAGTTGAGCCATAGAACAACAGTTCAGGGCCTGGAAAAATAGATCTCGAGAGACAGTTCACCTAAGTTATTGAAAATGGTGCGGTGAACCAGATTCGATCAAACAAGGTCAAGGAGGATCATCGCATCGCTCAATATTCAAGTGACATGTGACGTTTTTCTCTCGCACTGTGAAGATACTGGACATGGAATGTCTTCATGCTTCACACTGACAAAAAGGCACGGGATGCTCTGAGTCCCAATCAGATTTATGTGCAGTCATTTGCAGTCTGTTGGGCTTGTTATGGAAAAGAGTTCAGTAGTTGACACCGAAAAATAAGCAGAGTGGTTTCGGCATTTTCATGCCACTTGCCAGAGAGAGAGCGTTCTTGGCATTGCTTGTGTTCTTATCTCGGCAGCAGCCAGGACTGCCAGAACAGCGAATGCACCATGAAGATTCAGGGCGGAAGGTATGGACAGTATGGAAGATCGTGGTTGACAAGGGGTAGCAAACAAATGAAGTTGATCACGAGCAAAACTATTCCGTAATCCTGCCAAATATCAAGAATGGCATGTCTGAAATCAAGGCGAACTGACATTCTTACATTGTACACCCAAATCTTTTGAAGAAGAGTCAGGCGTCTAGAACCCTGTGGTCTGACCAACAAATGATGATGACATATCTCGATAAAAAATTTGCCTATCAATAAATCTAAGGGCTAGAGCCCCCTTGAAAATACCCAGGGACAAGCAACTCGGACAAACAAGCACACAAAAAAAAACAAGAACAAACGGTTGAACAAAGTGTAGCAACGAGCTCATGGTCCCGATGATAGACAAAATCAATACCTGCAGAGCGCTTATGTAGCGGAAAAGCCGAACCACTCGAATGCTCCGCAGATAGCGGAAAATGCGAACCATGCGGAAAACCCTCACTTGGCCAGCTTGAACCGATGCGGTGAACAGGAGATCAAGGGCCACGTCTGCAACGGACAAGGAGATCACACAGGCATCAAAGGTATTCCATGCCCAATCCGTGCCACACCAGAACTTGCGGCAACCCAGTGCTGCAAACTTCAGCAACAACTCGCACATGAAGAGGCTCACCAAGATCAAATTCACAATGCTAATCCATGATGGCATTCCAAGAGGGCCACTGGCAATATATACATCCACTTCTACCCCCATGAGGATAACATGAAGGAGAATCAAAGGGGTAAGGATGTACGAGAACATGGCTGAGTCGATCATTTCTTCCGCAAAGGACTGCCATCCCCTTTCTTTGTTGCTACTTGTGTCTGAAAAGAACCTGCGACGAGTCATCCACATAGCCTGAATTTGGGCGGTGGCCAAGTGCTGGTCGTAATGCTCCTTTAAAAAAGAGTCTGGTGAGCTCGGTGAGCTTTGGCCAGTCTCCCAACTGCGATCGGCTGAGCGGTTGCTTGTTTGGTTAGATGTGTTTGAGCGATTAGACCGGTTGGTGTGGAGGCTCCAAAGACTTCGATGACTTCGAGCTGTCCCTTCAGTCCCAACACTGTGGAGAGTCTTATGACCTGTCTGGATCGTAGATGAAGTAAGTTCACTGGCACCGCTCAATCTGAGACGGCTTCCAGATCTCCATGAGGCACCAACACTGCTCAACAGCGACCGGCGTCCAGAGGTTCCTGTGAAGGTGGTGAACGCGCTTCCAAGGCTTGATCTGTGTTGACCGACGGTGCTAGGTCGGCTCTGGTGTGATCGCATTGATGGGCGCGAAGGACCGTTACTGGGTTGATGCCGTGGGGAAGCTGGCGGAGAAGACGGCGGAGTTTGGAACTGATCCTCTTTACTTGCAAACGGTACTGACACTGATTCTGTTTCAGCAGCTTTTTTGTCAGCTTCAACTTCTTCAAAGTTGAAGTCTGTCTGCAACTCGAAGTCCAAGTCTATGGGAACTTCGTTTTGATCTGGTTCCCTGGCGGCACGAAGATTTCGGCGAACCTCCATCCGCAATAATTTGGCCTGCCGCCGAAAGCTTTTCTCAACAAACTCGTGCAAAATGTCAATCTTCCTCCCGAGCAGGACGTGTGGCTCAGCATCAGGATGACTGGTTTGGCCTTGAGTTTGCAAGAAAACAGCATGTGAGGCGTTCAAACTAGAGTTTCAACTACTCTCTATACTCCGCCTTATTCTCGCCAGGCCTATTTTATCCTACTCTTAATTCCGCGAGAAGGCAGACCTGTCGGTCATTCTTAATACATACAGTCCGTACAGTATCAATTCCGGCAAAAAACACAAAATCGTTCTTCTGTCATGCCACTTGCTCCAGATGAGCCATAGCCAAATGAAACCACACTTGTCCTCATGGCAAATTCAACAACACCCTATGCCCCAGCTACCCGCGTTGCAGCAACATCTATTCTGAGAGTGATCTTGTGGACTTGCTGCTGCCACTGTTTGCACTATTCAACTCAATTCCCTATTCCCGACTCCTGGATCCACAAGGCTGCAGGAAGAACAACAAACAAACAGAGTCAAATATATGTATAGGTGTATTATAATCAGTGGCGCCCGGCGGCGCCGTCCTTTGTCCTTGAAATCGGCCACGGGTGATTCCTCCACTGCACAAAACCCGCAAGGCCCAACAAAGCCACTCTAGATAGTTGTATGTTGGTCAGCACTTGATCAGTTCACAACCCCTCTGCTTGGCCAAGGGCATACGCAGCGGGAGCAAGGCCTTTTCTAGTTTTTTAAATGTGTTTTCTTCTCGACACATGCCCTGTCTTTTGGTTCCGGCAGAGATGGCAGGAGCCGCTTTGCATCGGAGCCTGCCATGGACAACATAATCAAACTTGATTGATTCGTCACCCATGTGCTTCACCCTCCACACACTACGAAAGGGAAGAAATTATCACACATACACACAAACACTTTCCGTGCAGAAGTGGATGAAACAGCCATGGTCCCACAGATGTAGATATGAGATCGAACGAGATCAAACAGTGTGAGAGATTGGATTGCGAATAGAACCGGCTGGTTTGCTTTGGGTTTGGAACTCCTGAAACATGACAAACTAACAAACGTTTTTGCATTTGGCACTTTGCGCAGCATGTGAACAGGAAAAGAAAGAACTGCTTAGCATGTGAAGTGATCAACACACACCCCAAAAAACACGGGTTTGGACTGTGAATGACTGCCATCAAAGTTTGGGTGGCACAAGTCAATCCAAATCCATCTCCGAAATGAAGGGCAAACCGTCTAGGGAAACAACCGAAAACAAACTGTCGCCTGGTGACTGGCGTCTGCCTCCTTTAAGACACATGGAGTGCCCAATAGCGCCCAGCAAGCATCATGCCAAGTGGTCCATAACCAGCTTCAAGCATAAATGAAACGACAATAAACCCTGTACGGTCAGAACCGCCCACACAGACGTGAAACTCAATGTTCTGGACGTTTCGGACCTCGAAAGTTCACTTGTACAGTAGAGGCTTCTGTGCCCTCCTCTGTGGTAGAATGGAACGGTGGACGTCTGTGAAAGTGAAGTCGTTAAAGAGCTCAAAGTCACGATCATCACCTGGCACTGTCATACTCGAAGAATGCTTGATGCCCAGGTGTGATGTAACGACTACCGGTCGCGGACTTGTCACTTGCCGACAAGTTCAAGGAAGATCTCAGGAAGCAGGAGCCCCCCCGGCCATCTCAAGCACGGCCATGTTCATGCCGTTCTTGTCCAAGTACGGTCCGAATGGGGTCGATCGGCCCATGAATGTCATTTGCCTCAAGTAGTGCTGTGCGAGCATCTGGGAATCCTTCGCCATTGGAGTCCGAGTTGCATGTGGCAACGATCTTGTAGGCTTCCGCAACTGCGGACCCCGATGTTTTCCCGATGGTGTCGGGAGATATGCCATCGAGTATCGCGACCTGGGCCCCACCGGGCATAGTAGGCATCGCGCAGGCTGGTGCCCTTCACGACGGGCTGCGTCCAAATCGTTGAGCGCAAGCCCGCAGTGGCCGACGCAGCTGTGCCGGCATCGCGCAGGGTGTGCTGCAAAGTGTGTTCCGCTTCAGTGCAGGTACCCTCGATGGCACAGTTCGTTTGGAACTGGAGCGTCTGCATCATTTGTCAAGAGTCATAGTGTGAGTGGAGGATAAAGAATGGCGTCTGCACAGGCAACATGTTTGAGGCCAAGAAGCAGCGCCATGCCTGGAAGCAAGGCAACCTTTGCTCAGGGACGGAGAATCGACCATATTCCTTCATTTCCTCGAAGACCCAGGGAAGCGAGCACGGGTGAAGTCAAAGTGCAACTCAGCTGAGACCAGCAGCAGTTTCCCCTGTGACAACGAAGTCTGTATATAGCTCCTCTCAGCTGTCCACATTGCCAGCTCGGCTGCTGCCGTCGCAATAGAACGCCCAAACCTTATTCCAATTAGCGCATGTCCGTGTTGATGTCAGCCTTGTTCGACATGCAGCAAAAGGCAAAAGAGTTTCCTAGCAAGCTGCCGACATACAGTAGTACTGCTGCCCCATGAAGCCTCTGGGCATGCATGGCACCCTTCGAAACTGGTGCACTAACCTCCCCCTTGAAAGTGCACGATCCGTTTCTGGGCACCTGTGCTGGAACCGGGCTCAATGAAGCATCCTCCTGGTGTGTGAGCCGTCCAAGCAAAGTGCTAAGGCATCCTGGAGCAGAAGCAGAACCAATGACCCCGAGTCAAAGGCAGCTCTCGCACCGAACAAGCAAAAGGGCTACCCATGGGGCGATTTTGATCGATATTGTTGTTGAGAAAGTTTAGACGAATCTGTGCTTGTGGCCTTTTCAGCCAAAAAGTCTGGACAAAGCCCAAGTCCTGGACTTCCATCCCCCCAAAAGTGTGGCTGCTGAGTCTTGATATGTTTTGGCATACTTCCAATAAGCTCAGTTAGCGCCCCTTTTCTCCAAGTTGAAAGCCTGCATAAGCCTGACCTCTTCAAGGCCCAGACTCTCAGGATATGTCATTCACGGGTACCAAATTGGTTCTGAAAAGCCGTTGTACGATGTTCGAGGTCTCGAGTACATACACTCCGGCCTTGCCGAGTTAACACTCGATCCTCCACGCGTAAGGCTTGCCACTTTGGGCAACAAAGCCTTAAACTGTCGCACGTGTGGCTCACTAAAAGCACGGCTGAGACGCTTCATTTCCTCATCCGTAGCCGAGGGGTACATGGTCTCTAGCCAAGAAAGTTTATGCCCCCTGATGGCTTTGACAGCAGGAAGCGAAACACTTTGGACCTGGCCCCGGTGTAGGAATAAATCAATGCTTTCCAATGCGAGGCCGCTCCTTTGCTCTTGAGCTGAATTGTTGCAGGTTTGTGTTGAGCTGAAGGCATTTGCGCTGGGCTTTGATGGAACCCAAGACCTCATCGTTGGCAATCGTCGACAAATCTTCTGAATTTCCTGTGGCAAAGGTGTGCCACTCAAGTTGAGTTTTGCACCGCGAAGACTCCTGGGAAGTTTTGAAACAAAACGAGCGACAGATGTTTCTGTGACCTGGCAGCCTTGCAAATTCACTTGGATCACGCCAATCTCTTGGAAATGTGAAAGTTGACTGGACAAAGCATCCAAGCTCACATCTGAAATATCACAGTCTGCAAAATCCAGCTTGAGGAGTGTGACACTGGGGGGGAGTGCGCCAGCAACTGCTTCTACCCCCACATCACTCAGGGCTCTGCATGAACGGAATGACAAGAATATGTTTCTCAATCTGCTGAGCTCCAACGTTTCCGCCAACAAAATCAAGCTCTTGTCATTGATCTTCTCCACTGCAGATACATCCAAGTCCAACAGCCTGATGTCAATCAGGCAGGAAAATCATGTGAAGCTGCCAGCAACCCTCCTGGCTCCTATTACAGTCGCCAATCAACTTTCAAGTCCACACATAAGAAACCAAAGAATCAAAGAACAATGTTTGCCATGCAGGGTGCTTTCCGTTGTTGGTGGTGTGCTTGTGTGTGTATGTGTCCGGGAGATTTCGGTTTTGATGCTACAAGAAGGCCTCCCGTCCAAGAGCCACACAAACAAGAGTTGACACAAACATCTCCCAGGCGCTTCAAGGAACTTTGCGCCAATCCTCTGATGCTTTGGCAAATGCTTGCCAAGCTCCTAATCTCGGAGTTGCAGCTAAAGTTCAAGTGTAAGGAGGTGAGGCTTACAGGGAAGGAAGCCAAGGCGTCGATGCCACCTTGACCCACGCCAGAGCAAAGCCTCAGAACAAGCTGCACAGTCCCAGCTCCAAGAGCAACATACATGGCAGCCATAGACTTTGGGATCCATGTCAAGGCTACCAAAGTCCTCATCCTTGTTCTAATTGCCATGCCGTGGCCATTTCGGTACCGAACAAATACTACCAACCATGGGCAAGTGGCCCTGGCCGTAAAGCAAAGAAAAAAGGAAGCTTTCTGATTAGATTCATGTACAATATACCTGTTGCTTGTAGAACGACAGCCGCACCATTGCTGCGGCTTTTGCGCAATGCCCAGAGCCTCTTCAAACCCACATGATCCTATTTCAGTAGACCGTCAGCACGGCAGTTGTGAAAAGCTAGATGGCCTTAAAAGCCATAACTCTTCACAATGCCTGCAGTAGCAGCAGGCTGAAAAGAAATCCCACAGAGCGAAGAAAGGACCAACATTCAGGTCCTGAGTGTAAGAATCCATGCCAAGGAAAGTACGGTCAAAATGGGATACGAGCCGTGGGGGGCACCAACAAGGTCAATCAAAGCACGGGTGCTTTGAAAGGCAGCAAAGTCCATAGAACACATGTCAGGCATTGCGGCATCGTACACTTCAGGGTGACAAGTTGTCAGGTATTATGTTGCTCCATGTTGAGGCCATGACCTGTAGGCCTACCAGGTTGGGGTTGAATGAGTGAGAGGCTCCAAGTAAATCGGAGCTTGTTAAGCGGAAAGCGGATGCCCGTAAACACGTCCTACTAGTGTGAACCCAAAATATATATCTGATCCTATGGCGCAACAGCCATCAGAGTGGCCGCAAGTGTCAAAAGGAATTGACTTCTGGCTCGTTTCTAATTTTTGTCCAAGCTGCTTGAAGTTTAGCTTCAGAGTCTTCAGCTTTTGAGGCATATGCCTGCACAAGTCCTCGACTCCCTTTCCAGTGAGTTTGGAGCACATGCAAAAGTTCAGGTCCACTCGAGAGAGATGATTGTGCATGGATCCTGCTAGCAGTGACAAATGAGCATCGTCCACCTTGGACGCGCATAAGTTAACGATCAAGGAGTCGTTTGATACGTTAGCTTTCACGCATTCGGCCAGTGCATTTCGCGGAAGCTTCTCGGATTCAACCATGGGCAGCCACATCATGGAGGCGAAAAGGCCACGAAGCTTCACATTCACCCTTTCCTAAGACATGTCGAAAAGAAACATAACTGCCCTGTACATGCACGTTCAGTCCACATCCATCTACGTATGTGCATTGGGTTTTGACAAGATGCAAAATACCGATTCAAGGCCACAGCCGCAAGGTCCACACCTTGTTCTTCTAGGAGCTTGTGCAGCAAACGGTTCCGGTCCATCTTGCTCACGGCGTCTGATCTCTCAATTGCAATGTCAAGCGCAGCGGTCAAAACGTCCTGAGGACTGAGAGGACGCACATGCATGCACATGCATGCAACCTTTGTCAAATCAATTCGCATGTACATGAAGGTCCCGGGTAACTAGTGTCTATAACTTCCTGCGAAAAGGTTTTCGATGGTTTTCGGCATGTGTTTGATGTGTGCACGCCAGTTGTGCAGATTTAGTGCCAAATTCAGCAATGCCGGTGAAATGCTGCCAGGTAGCTGCTGGAAACGTCTCTTCCCTTCTGTTCTTCTCACGAAAGCCTGTTCCTTGCAGTTTGCTTTCCATTCTGCATTCAACTTCTGTGAGGCTCTGCGTCAAAACAACGGGGCCCTCCAATGCAAAGGCTACCTGACAGCACAATAGACGATTCAGCTATGGATCGGGGCGAAGTCACCGAGACTGAGCAACAATCTCAAGCTGCTAGAGTCTCAACTTTGCCAAGAATCCATGTCCAATGGTTTCTGCAGCTCCACAACAGCCAGCGTAACTTCTATCAAGCACCTGCAAACCAACAAAACAAACTCTGCAAACAACCTCCCGGAGAGATTGGTTTCAAGGATGTGACAAGAAGCAACCACAAGCAACTCCAGGCCAGGCACCAAGTTCTGCTGAAGAGGGAACTCATGCCCAATGGCAGAAGAACCCATTGAGAGGCCTTCATTGCCTGCAAGCGAGATTGCAGAACAACTCAAAACTCATATATACTGACGTCTTCTGCCATAGCTGTTCGCATTATTGTCTCGGGCGTGCTGTGCAAGCTTTGGCTAGAGGAGCCAATCAGCGTTGTCTTACTTGGAGCTAGTGCAGGTTGCGGGGCAACATGAACCGTGTCCAACCCAAAACCACTCTACAACTAACTAGAAACTATGCCCAACTAGGTCCACGGCGGATAGACGGCCATGGTGTAAATCAATGATGGCCGTGGGTTAATCATGTCGAAATGCGCGCATTTCCATTAGGAATGATGTGCCCAACGTTTCATCAGTGGAATCATGGTCAATTCCAAGCAGCTTTTTCCCGAAATGAGAGTTTCGCTGAGGCGAAATGCTGATTTCGAAGCATTTTCGAAACTACGTAACTAATTGGGCCGTCGGAAAAAGTTGCGACTTTTTCAATCTTCACAAGAGCTCCTCCAAGCGTGCACAATTCAATGAATGCTCCCAAGACCTACGCCATACGGGGTGTGACACACACTCTGACATTGGTTTTCAGTTAAACTCAATTTCCCGACAAAAAGGAGTGGCTCAACGGCAAGGTGAAGAGTCCGATCAAATTGAAGGTGTTTTCAACAAAAGGTTTGTGCGCATCTGCAGACTCGCGACAGCAGCGGACGAGCGGCGGACGGCAGCTGAAAGGCGGCTGTGGGAAAACCTGTTTAAGGGGTAAGAAACGTGAAAGAACCATGAATCAAACCGTGGAAAAGTAGGGTGGACATCCCCCGTACATTTTCCCTTGGGTGTCTTACATTACATTTCATAGACAAATTCTGTCTATAGAATGAGTTGCCTGGGATAAGTTGTCTATAACATGACAAGCCTTGTATTTATATAAAATGATTACCAGCATGTGAAAACAAATATAAAACATATCACAAACAAAAAATATATAAGATGAAGTTCTATAGAATGATCCCCTTGACATCTTGATCTTAACAACATACAACAATATGATCCCCTTGCTCGCTCTATAGAATGCCTTTCCTGCATCCTTGCACACAATCCCATCTGAAGTACATACTTGCTCAAGCAGCCCTCTATAAAATGATCTCCTGTGATGTTCAAATATATTCTGGAAATCTGAAACCACATATTCTATATAAAATGGGTGTCCAAAACCCATTTCATAGAGGAAAGTGATTGTCATTTCATAGAGCCTCATGTACGGGGGATGGGTGGACAGCTTGTGCAAAAGTTGTGTGGCAGGTACACACCAAAGCGTCCTCTGGTGCTTCCCCTGTCACATCCCAGCTTCGTTGGGCCAGGTTGGATGTGACAGGCCTGGCCCCCCTGCCTTATGGAGTAGTGGTGGTGGAAACAGTGGCATTGAACCCTTTGGTACAGGGGGTGACACACACACGGTGCCGCTTCGCGGCGCTCGTGTGAAACACCTCAATAGTCACCTAAAAAGCCTTAGAAACAAAAGAAAGGAAAGACAGAAAGAGCAGCGTTAAGAGGGCAAGAAGGAAAGGTAGGTGTAGAAAAAGTGAATACTTAGCCCTTGACTGGGGTAGGGAAACGAGCCTCAAGAGCAACCTAAAAAGCCTGAGAGAAAGCCCAACAAACGACGAAAAGCGCAAGAAGGAAAGCGGGGGGCAGGGAGGGGGTGTATGTTCATGTGTGTGTACATGTGTGTGTCTGAATACCTAGCACTCTAGAGTTACTGATTACTTAGCAGAAATGAATTAAATGCAATAGTTAGGGAGCGGGACTTTAGTCTTAGACCGCCCGGGTAGGAAAGACTAGAACAGGGACAACAAAGATAATTAGGTCGGGATAAGAACGCGGTGGGGGGGGTGTTGGGAGACCTGCCTGAAGGGGGACGAATGCCGTTTTTAAGCCCGGCGGCTTGTCAAATCCCGTTTTTTGGCCCGGCGGCCGTGGAGGCAGTAAATTCAGTTGAGGTTGATCCAGTGGTGAATTCCGGTGAAGGTGGAAAAGCTCAGTTACACGATTTCCGGCATGAATTCAGCGCCCCAGTGACGGGGATCACACTCAGCACCCGAGTGGGACGGCTGAGCGAAACACACTCTGACATTGGTTTTCAGTTAAACTCAATTTCCCCGAGAAAAGGAGTGGCTCAACGGCAAGGTGAAGAGTCCGATCAAATTGAAGGTGTTTTCAACAAAAGGTTTGTGCGCATCTGCAGACTCGCGACAGCAGCGGACGAGCGGCGGACGGCAGCTGAAAGGCGGCTGTGGGAAAACCTGTTTAAGGGGTAAGAAACGTGAAAGAACCATGAATCAAACCGTGGAAAAGTAGGGTGGACAGCTTGTGCAAAAGTTGTGTGGCAGGTACACACCAAAGCGTCCTCTGGTGCTTCCCCTGTCACATCCCAGCTTCGTTGGGCCAGGTTGGATGTGACAGGCCTGGCCCCCCTGCCTTATGGAGTAGTGGTGGTGGAAACAGTGGCATTGAACCCTTTGGTACAGGGGGTGACACACACACACTTTAAAAAAAAGGTTGCATGAACACGTAGCATCAACTTCATGCAGGAAGTGCAACCGAACGTTAACATGCCCCACCCCACCCCACCCCATTCCCACACGTAGCATCAACTTCATGCAGCAAGTGCAACCGAACGTAACATGCCCCACCCCACCCCACCCCATTCCCACACGTGGCATCAACTTCATGCAGCAAGTGCAACCGAACGTTAACATGCCCCACCCCACCGCACCCCACCCCTTTCCCACACGTAGCATCAACTTCATGCAGCAAGTGCAACCGAACGTTAACATGCCCCACCCCACCCCACCCCCCACCCCATTCCCACACATAGCGTCCACATCCCCCTCAAGCAAACATACAAAAACGACAGCGTAGAAAACGAAAAATCAAGAAAAATGCAAGAAACACCACGGCCGTCTATCAGCCGTGGGCCAACTATTGCATGATTGTATGTGAATTGGCTGTCAAGACTGCCAAGCTTGTGTTCTCAGCATCAACAAGCACGGAGACGTCAGAAGAAGCACAGGAGTACAAAGGAGGAACAAAAAGCGCGAATACTGTAGAATTCCGCAGACCTTTCAAACGACTGCATTGGTCTGCATTGTGCAGCAACCCCTTTGTCAAATCACCACCCACAAAACAAACCGAGTTTCATCCTTTCAGCAAGAAAACTGCACTTCCACTTCTTCGTCCCAACACTGCGTACGAATGTGATCAAATTCTCCCACATTCCGAAATCAATCAGTGTGATCACTCGGGTCAAGTTGAGCCCATCACTTTGAATCAGGAGACCCTGCTTGGCTGCAAATCCGTGTTTGACCCCACCAAACTGTCTGAACTTCATGTCCTACAACATCCTAAAGCTCCACATTCCGCATATGCGCTCTTGTAAGCCCAAGATCAGCACAATATAGCCTTACCCGAAGACTTCCAATGCTAAAAGACACCAGTACACAGTAGCCAGCTTGACGAAGAAAACGTCCGTTCTCACATTCGCATGTTTGATTAGGCCACCTGGAAGGCATCTGAGTCATGCAAACTCTCTGGCACAAAGCTCTGACCGTGTTGATGTGCATAGGCCCAAATCCAAAAGAATGCATCGCCAAGCAAACGAGTTCTTGATTGCTGCTGGAGGCATTCCAGCATATCTCGTGCTGGTTGCCCAAAGCAGTGGCTCACATAAACTTCGGCTGACTGGGCACCAGCTGCGACGAGTTCGGTAAATGAGCATTGGTGAGCCTGCGTGGAAGGCGTCACAAGCCATTTCATGATATCGTAATGGGTCAACGCCCATGGCCCATGTGGCGTGTCAAGGTCCCAACAAGTGCTGCTTGTCAGAGAATAGTTCCTCAGACGAACGAGAGAGGCAAAACTAGGTGCATAGTCGCAAGTTCTCAGCACGGACACTCAGGACCGAGCACTACATCTTGCAATTGTGCAAAAGAAATCGCCCTGTGCTCTGCAGCTTCAATTCTGCAACCTGCAGGCGCAGGGGCCCCGCTGAGGCGTCATACTGCGCACAGTTTTACTTTGTGCCCTTTGTGATGCTGTCATGCATTCTTTGTTAGTCATACACATGCTTTACGTTAATTTGTGCATTTTTTTTTCTCTCTCTCTCTCTCTATCTCCCTCTCTCCATTCCATCAAGTCACATGCGGGGTAGCGGTTGGACAAGGCTTCTAAGTGCCGAGGATCTGCCGGGGACTGGAATTTCGGCTTTGCCTGAGCGGATGGCAGCACTAGGAGCGGCCAGTGCGGTGATGCCTCACCTCGCCCTTAGCATTTTGCTGCACTTCACTGCTTCACTTGCCTTCATCCTGTCCGGGCCTCATCTTTCTCGTCCCTGACCTCACTGCCCTCGTCCTCCTCTTCCTTGCTTTTCTCTTCTACTTCTGTCCTCTGAGCATGGCGGAGGCAAGCCAAAAACTTCAAAAAACACCTGAGACGTCTACAAAGCCAGTTCTGCTGGCTCATCTGCCATGTGCTGCTTCAAATCTACTCAACCTCGGGTTCATATCTCGATGACTCCAAGTGATCCAGGTGGTGGAAAAGCGACAGCTCCATCAGTGCGACACCAAGAACGCATGATTCGAACCAACTAAAATTAGGTGCCATGCTCCATCCGCCCCGCCCCGCCATTCATCGGCTTGAACCCAAATCTGTTGGTCTCAACAATCTGAGGTACTCTCTCGCTCGATGTAGTATATATATATATCATATGTATATATATACTTGGTGTCCTTTTTCAATCTATATGTGTATATATATATATAACCATTATATACTCGCTACACGGCTACACTCTCTGTTGGATCAACTTTGGACGTTGGCTGATTTTGAAAAGGAGTAGCTGAAAGTGTCAAGAGTGTCAGATTCTGGCGTCTGGTCAGCACAACAATGCAAAGTCAATGGGCGCCTCGCATCTTTATACCTTGATAAAACTCACATGCACTTTGGCTTCATCAGCTTCGCCGAAACAAAGAACGTGACGTGAATCATCTAGCTGTGGTAGGTCACCTTGCAGCAAAATTATGCGACATTGCTGGAGTTGGATGCATCCTAGCCTGACAAATCGAAAGCCTTCAACAGCAACCACCTGCATCGGCCGACTAAATGACTATATAATTATGTGAGAGGGGATTGTGCTTCATATTGAAACTGACTTCTCTGCATTCTTGGGCGACTTCTTGGGCGCTCTTGGTCTGCACGTGTGTTTTGGGCCAGCTGTGGGAGCAAGGTAAACATCAAAGTTACTAAAGCTCATCTGGTTTGCAAACGTGGCTGGTGCGGTTGCAAAGTTGCAACAGTCACACATCACCAAACGCACACTTTTTCACCTCACGAGAGCTTCACACTTCTAGATTTGATCATCTCTGCTTCTCCTTCACTGCTTTCATCACTGCTGAGAAGGTTGTGGTGAACGAAGCTTGTCTCGTCCAGTCTTTGGCACTTTTTCGCTCGAGCGTCAGCGAGCCTGGCTGCCCTCTCTGCAGCAGTGGCCCGGCCCGCGCCAGCATAGTGCGACAAGCCCAAGTTCGATGTGTCCATGTTCGCATGTTCCAATGCAACACAGGAACCCAGCAAAGATGTGCGGCCTTGGTTTTCTTTTCCCAAGCCCATTCCTGCTTTGTAGCCCATCTTTTCCATCATCCGCATCGCATTTGAGCCATAGGTCTCTTCTTGGAAGTCTTTCTCGATCTCACCCTCTAGCTCTACATGCTCTGAACCAAGCTGTGTCTCTGGTTTCTGTGCTCCGTCTCTTGTAATTTCACGGCGCACTTGCTTGTATCTCATTGAGCTCTTCTCCACCTCCCCTGCTTCTCTTGCAGCGTAGAATGTTTTTGCTTCCTCGGCGCTGGACCAAACTTGGTGTCTGAAAGTGCAAGCTGCCCCCTTTTCACACTGGCCGCGCTGTTGGAAGGAGCAGAACTGAATGCCATTCGGATCGTTGTGTTCAAAAGGGCACTTGTCATTCATGCAACCTTTGGCGCTACCGAAGAACCTGCACGAAGAGGCTTCTGGGCGACCCCTTGGGCAATGATAGGTTGCGTTGGCAGCCGTGCTGCCATCCGATCCTTTGCCCCAAGCTTTGGCTTTGCCCTTTCCCGCTTTGCCCTTGCCTCCTTTCCCAGGCGCTGGCATGCCAAACCCTTTTTGTTTCAGCTAGTGGCTACGGCACACGTGTCAAACAAAATGCACAGTCGATGTCACAGTTGCATGCACGCCAAAGACTGACAGCCTCACTGAAAAACAACCCAATACAAAAACATACAAAAACCACTTCTTGTAGAAATGCAACACACTGAGACGAACTGTGAAAACAATTGAAGAAATACCATGCAACCTGACAATTGGCAAAACCCAACACACTCACACACACACACACCACGACAGCTTCTAAATCGGGAGTCGTGTCGGACAAGAAAGGCGCATCTTTGGAAGTCCGTGGTCCACATGGCAAAATCCTGAGACCTGATTGGGCCAGCGTCTTGTGCACTGCTTTTGCAAGCATGCGGAAATCTTACAGGAATTGCGGGCCAGCGGTTCTAAGGCGTCGTGATCGGTGTGCCCTATCTGGTGCAAACTGCAATTGGTTTGATAGGGTGGTTGGTCGTTACGAAGGGGTGCAACTCTTCATAGTTTCAACTTGCATGCTGGCTCGACTTACACTCCGCAGATGGCTCCAACGCACTCAGGATGCACTCAGTTCTCAGTTTCGGGGTTTGGCCCACTCCACCTTCATGATGAGATTGTCATAGCCATGCCCATTGAGGCGATCGATAGCCCTCTGGGCATCTTCTCTATTGTAGTATGTGATGAAGGCAAAACCCTTGGATTGAAAGGTGTTCATGTCTTTGGCCAAAAAGACACGCTGAAGCCGGCCACACTGTCCAAAGAGGTCCTGCAAATCACCTTCCTTCACATCATCCGACAAGTTGAAGACCCGCAAAGTTGCGTCCTGCTGGCCCTGGTACTCACCTACTTTACCTTTCCCTTTGCCCTTCCCATCACCTGCATTTCGCAAACTTGGTGGGACGTATTTACCAGGCGCTCCTGTTGCTGGCGCCGTGGTTGCCTCTGCTGTTTCTTTCTTGTCATCCTCTCCAATGCCAACCTCCTTTGATTCCTTGTTTAGGTCTGTCCAGACCTTCTTCTCCTTCAAGAGGCTCTCCGTGATGGTCAGGCTCTCCTCAAAAAACTTCTCTTCGGCGTCGTCTTTCTGCGAGAGATCCACATGGATCTTTTTTTGCAGATTCAATCTGAATTTCTTCAACGCTCTTCATGCACAAGGTTTTCTCGTCGGCTTCAGGATTTGTTGCAGCTTTGCCAAATTTTTGCAGGTTTTTCCGAGCCTGCATCGATCGATTGGTCCATTTTGTCGTGACGGTTTCCTTGACCTTCTTGGTCACCCTGTAGGTCACCCCAGCCTTGTCGACGTACTCCATGATGGTTCTGATTCCATCCTTGTCGGCTGCTGTTTCGAACCGCCCATCTGTATTCTGCATAGCCGTCTCTTCCTCATCATCGAGGTCCGCCCACTTTTTGCCCCATCGTGCTGAGGTCATCTTGGCTGCGGGGTCCTTTTTGTGCAGCTTGGAATGGCGATGCTTGGCTGGCGGCTTGAGAGCCAACTGCGATCATGCAAGAACAAAAGTAATTCAACGATTCAACAACTCAAATCAATAACAAATGAATAAAGATTCGTTTCAGCGGATACCAACAGAAACACATTTATGATGAGGATGCCAAAAGCTAAAAAAACTGACCCGAATCACAACTACAGCAAGAGTCATGAACATGGAGAATGTCATCCGTCTGAACTTCAGCCTTTCAGTTTTCGTCCCTTTTTTAGCTGCTCAGCACTCTTTGCTCGCAAACAAATCTGAAACGGCACTGCCATGCAAGGTGTTGCCTACATACCTGCCATGAACCCAAATAGAGGGCGATGCTGCTGCTCCAGTGGCCTTCTTTACTTCGGCAAGGTGACCCTCCAGCGGTGCCACCACAAAGCTGGCCTGGTGGTTCAATAGTGTGTCGACCACTGCGCGGCCAGAGGGACAACCTGGATTGGCGAAAACCACGACATCGGAAGTCCTGTGGGTATCTGTGCTGATCAATGTCTCGAAGGACGCTCCCGAAGTTGGTTCAGCTCCATGCATTGCGTCGTCGGTTTTGCCTTGCGATTTTGCGTCATCTGTTTTCAGCAGCAATGTTGTGCTACCAAGCAAAACGCCAAGCTGCACACCAAACAGCCTTCCCATTGTTCCCCATTTTTTGGTCACTGGCAAATCTAGTTGTTCAACCTTCAAATGAGCGGCAGGCAGGCCTAGTTTCCCGGCAAAAGATTCTATGGTGCCGCCGAAAAGGACACCACATGAGTCACTGCAAAACAACCCAATGGCTGCTGCAGTGATGGAAGAAATGCCAAGAGTTGCCCCTAGGACAGCATCCATTGTTGACCCTACCTGGGTCATCACCACGCAATCTACAATGCCAAAACCAACCATGGGCACTGCATTTTGTAAAGCGTGGGCCCGCAATTGATCAGGCATAGGAGCGCCATGATGATCAGCAAAATTTCTAACTTGGCGAGTGCCCCTCGCCAAGGCCCTGCAGAATTTAGCAAAATGCATCATTGGCAATTATGCTATAAGGTGTGGCCTGACTTGATCCAACCCCTGCGGGCACACTGCGTGATTCACCAACAAAAGCACACTGAAAAATAGGTGATGAAGCGCCACGTGCAGTTGACCAAGCAGACCGGCAAGTGACAAATACCACATCACAGTTAGGACAAATTTATCATTGATGGCCTATACGAGGATGCCTGAGGCTATTCGATCAACCAAGAATGGATGATGAACATGGACATATGACTGACGTAGTTTGATGCAAACCGGTCACTGAAACAATACACTCAGCCGCAGAAGTCACGGCATAGTAGGAGAAATTTGCGTTCCCCCATGGATAGTCCTTGCAAATACGAGCTCCCCGCATGGAAACGCAATGACTTGGCAATGTTTTTTGATGTGTTCTGAAGTTCCTTTCCTAGCACAATTATCATGTCTTCACAACAAGCTCCTGGCGTGGAAACGCAGTGGTTTAGCAATGATGTTCATCTCCTCATGGTCCCTTGACATCTCTTTGGACCAGGTTCTTTGTACTTTACTTAAGCCACGCAAGTTGCAAAGAGGTATCGGAACAAGGGTTCACGAGAGGGTGACGCTGCTGCCGTTTTTTTCCCCCAACCAAACGCGACACCGCCACGACTTCAACTTTTGATTAAACCGCCCAAAAGGACTGCCGGACCTCTGGTGTTTTTCATAGTTTTTCATGGTATCAGTTACTGTCACTGTCTCAGTCGCATCATAGGCATAGTAATCACACAAAAATCACCCCCACCAACGAAGAGGTGAAAAGGTTGGATGCCTGCTTTGGACGATCATGGCGTTGCCTCGCCTTTGTATGAAACCAGTGGTAGACGATGTGCACTTTGAGTATTCATAGTTGGAAAGTTCATTGTCAAGAAGTCCGAACTTGGAAGGCAATTCACTTGTGGCATCAATTTCGGAACGCACATGTGTGGACAGCCCTGCGCAACTTTTCACAAACACCATGTGTTGAAGCAAGGGTGTTTGATGAAACACCACCCACAATGGCGGAACTCGGACTAACAATTTAATGGATTTCATGTGGCCAAGTTAGCTGCAGATCAAGCGCTTGCTTGCTGCAGTTCCCTTTGCTAGAGCCAGGTGTCGCCTGTGGGTGAGGGATCCCCCCAAAATAAGGTACAGCATGAATAAACATTTTAAACGGCAGCTAAAAAGAACAAATGGATCAACACTTGAGAGAGGAGGGGGTGAACGAAAGGTAGCAGGCAATTACAAGCAACCCTGGTAAAAGTCCATGACGGCGTGAACCGGCGCAGGGGGGATTTGATCCAAGGGGGGGGGCCCACCCCCCCGACGAACAGAATCAACTCTTACAGGACCAAACTCGATGCACAATCCCAACTCCTGATTGTAATACATTTTTGCTAAAGCAAGGAGAACTCAGGTAGCTCAAGCTACCTTTCGTGATTAAACATTCCGAGTGAATAACGAACCGAGAAGGAAGGAGACGAGGGAAAGGACAACAGCAACAGGGCGGGCGACCAAAGGATCAAGAAAGGATGATTGCAACAAATAATCAAGGTTTGGGCGAGGGTGTGCAATACTTGGTTGGCGTGGATACGCGATGGGATTTACAAAAAGTCGGTCGTGACAGGCACAGTGCATTGGCCAAAGTAGTGCTGATTTCGTGGCGCCGACGCGGGGTTGCAAACTACAAAGGCCACCAGACGCTGAAGAGACCACACAAATTACATCATCTCCGAAAATGTTTAAACATCCTATTGCCCTAAGACCATCAACGGGGGGCCCATTCACCACAGGACACTCGAAGGATGCGTCCAACCGCTTGAAACACAACTTCAACCAAAACGGCATATTTTGGTGAGTGACTTTTACAAACTCTGTCGTTGTAGGCCCTACTCAGTGCCAAAAGAAGTGCAGGTTTCGTGGCGCTCCACCATCAAAATTACACGCCGCCTTATCAAGGAAGGGCACTCAGTAAGTGAGACCAACGCACCATGAGGCCAGCGGACCAAAAACGAGACCAGAGGATGAAAGGACCAGGGGACCAAAGCATGAGGAGACCAATGGGCTAGGAGACGAACGCACCAGGGGAGCAGCGGGCTAAGAGACCAAGAGGCCAGCGGATCAAAGGAACATAAAGGTGCAGTGGATTAGCCCCGCAGCCCCATAGAACGACCACCCCAGCCATACCAGCCCTAGCCACCCGAAGTTGGCCACATCCGCCTACTGGAGACCTGCTCCCTTCCAGCTTCCGTGGAACCAGCAAAAGGCCTGCTCCCAGACCTTCCAGCCTTGACCAGCCACCGACCACTTTTTGCAAGTCGCCCAAAAGATCGCCACTTGCCAGCTCCCATCGGTTCTCTTCTCGGGTGGGCCCAAGCTTGCCATCCGTGGCCGTACACCCGGGGATCATTTTGCATACGAAACTGTGGCCAGCTCCACCAAATGACAGGATCCCCCATATGGAATCGACACGGACAAAAAACACCGCCATAAATCTATATTTTATCGTCGGACGCGCTAGACGGCTGCCGTTGTTTTCCGATGCTCGTTGTTGGTCTTCGTTTTTCAAAGTGTGCCAATGAAACGCTCTGTCTGGTTTACGGACAACAATGATTTTCCCCTTACGAACTTTTGTCGCGCCGAAGGGCAGGGGGAGAAGTTGTTGGTGAGCACTGCTTTTCCTGTTTCCATCACAAATGAGAATGTCACGGCCACAGACAAATCCCACGCCGCTAATTTCACACCCCCTTGCCCCCCCCACCCACAAACGCAGGACGGTCAACATTTTGCAATTTATAGGGAACCCTAAAAGTTTTGATCTTTCGGCGGGGACATGAAACACACACGCACACGCACACACACACACACACACCGCATGAAACCACATTGCAATGAAAACAAAAGAGCTGAGTGCGGCGCAACGAATGAAAGCCCCATGTTCCCCATGAAGCCAGGAGCCACCTTAGCCTCAGGGATCTCAGAGTCATAAATCCTTTAAACTCCTTAGCAAGTGCTTGAGAGCAGGAGCCGGGGAACAAGATCGAGAACTGCACTGCAAAAAACTGAGAACGTATCAGAACAACATCCGTGGTCTCACACTCAAAGAAAAGAAAACCCCATGCCCACCGCATCCCTGTTTTCGTATGGTTGCTGAAATGACCTGCCTTCTCGGCAGCAGTCCCATCTCGGCGTCGAGGTTGGTGAGCCGCCGAGTCATTCGGATTTGGGTGTGGAGCTCACTGTCTCCCCTCACCCCCCTTTACAACCAAAGCGAATACTCATTCCTTTTCTCTCCTCGGCTTCACAGTGCCTTGGCCACCACTTCAAAGAGCTTGATGCACCCTGCCTTCTCGCACATGTGAAAGCTCTCGGAATCAGGGTTTGGTGGTTCATGAGAAAACTTGAAATCGCGGGAGTTCCTGCACTCGAATCCGCAACCGGTGGTGAATGCATCTTTCACAGCGTGAAACGTCTGGCTGTGTGTGTTCAACAGAAATTTGGGCAAGAACTTTCTAGACAGTTCTTCCGTCCACTTCTCATTCATGGCCAACGACTTCGCCCTCAGCTCTTCCAAGATCTTGTCGATCTCTTGCTTGGTCTGGTTGGCTTCTTGGAGAACTTGTGTGCTCTGCGTCTCCAACGCGTTCTGGATTGCCTTTACCATCTTCGTCGACTTCGGATGCCCATTCGGCATCTCCAGGGCCTTTGCAGAGTGGGTCAAAATCTCTCCAAAGGACAAGGAGGTCCAGCCATTGATCTGAGTTCTCGAGCGGGACTTCCCGCAGGTATTTCAGGATCACATCACTGCCCCACCTGCAGAAGAGCTGAATCTTATAGAACTCAATTCCCTTTCTGGCCATGAGCTGAGCGCCCATTGGTCGTAGGATGTGCCCAGTGATTTCCTGCGCTTCTTCTTCTGTGAGTCCTAAGGCCACAGCCACTCGTCTGAAAGCCTTCACCATGCCTTGCTTCGTGGGGGTCTTCTTGGGCTTGTCCGTCACTATCAGAGGGTCGTCTTCCACGTTTCCGTTTTCCGTGGCTGCCTGCAGCAGCCTCTTTGCCGCAGCCACTGGACACAGGTTCGGGTGATGTTCACACAAGCAACCCAGTTTCCTCAGGACCCCCTCTCCCTTTGAGTCTGTCTTCGACAGCGCGGGCAACCCGGCCTGCTATTTCGCGACCAGCCGGCCGGCCGGCTGGCCAAATAGCGGCCGGCCGGCCGGCTGGCCATAGCGGCCGGCCGGCCGGCCAAGTAGTAGTAGTAGTCGTCGTCGTCGTAGTCGTAGTCGTAGTCGTAGTAGTAGTAGTAGTAGTAGCAGTAGTAGTAGTAGTAGCAGTAGTAGTAGTAGTAGTACTACTAGACTAGTAGTGGTAGTAGTAGTAGTAGTAGTCGTAGTCGTAGTCGTAGTAGTAGTAGTAGTAGTAGTAGTAGTGGTAGTGGTAGTGGTAGTGGTAGTAGTAGCAGTAGTAGTAGTAGTAGCCGACGGTCGTTGATCAGCCGGCCGGCCGGCCGGCTGGGCTGTGGATCTTGGCGTGGATCTTGGCCGGCCGCGGCTGGACCGTGGATCTTGGCCGGCCGGCCGGCCGGCCAGCTGGACCGTGGTTCTTGGCCGGCCGGCCGGCCGGCTGGCTGGCTGATCGAGAAATAGCGGGCCGCGATAAGCTCGCAATGGCTGTCTTCGAAGAGGGGAGGTACACCGACACGACCCCGCATCCCCGGTTTGTGTCCTCGATCTGCACATGCTTCACCTTCCTCAAGGCGGCTTCCATCTCACGACATGCGAAGAAGGCAAAGAGGATGACCGTTTCGACCGTCTTGGCAGGGCCTCCTTCCACCGCCTCGACTTCTTTGATGTGCTCCAGCTTCCTCAGGTCCAGGGCAGGGCACTGCTTGTCGGCTCCAATGCCTCTCACACAGGACCTGATTGCATCTCGGACTGCCAGGGTGAGGTCATCTCCCCATGAATGACTGTTCAGGATGTGCTCTCGTTTCAAGGCAGCAAAGTATTGGGCCGCTGACCTATATTGACCCGCCTTCAACAACGCTCCTGCCATGTCAATCGTGGCGACTGTGAGAGGGAAGGGTTCCACATCCAAGCTGGCTGCCCTATGAGTCCACCATTGCACTCGAGCTCCATGGGTGGCCTGATTCGAGGCCGCGAACTTGTCGTTCTGGAATTCTTCCATCGCCCTCTTGAACTCTTCTGGATCTTCTGCCACCTCTTGGGCCCTGGCTCGGTTCCCCGTGGCGTAGGGCTTGACCACTGGTTCGGTCTTTCTGAACGGTGTGCCTGGAGCAGCGGTCGCTGGGGTGGATGGCGCTGGTCTTGCTGCAGACGAACTTGGGCGTGTTGAGGCCCCTTGGCCCCATGAGGCCCAGGCATCCTTCTCCATGCTCTCTTCATCCTTCTTGGGCTTAGCGCTGGTGCCCACGGTGGTGGGTGGTCAGGCTCTTTGGGTCGCATCTGCAACCCGGGCCACTTGGCCTCCGCCCCCGAACGTGGTAGGTTCGAATTGAGCCTTTTCATGAAAATAGCTGCGGAACATCAACAAATGACCCCAAAATGGGGGGTGCTTAGGTACCTCCCCCTGTGCAGGACCCCTGGATTAATTTTCTTTATAGTCCAGGGGGGGTTGAGTGTTTATCTTGAAAATAATCAAGCACGTGACCCACGTCTCAGATTATTTCTATAGACATTTTTAATCCTGAATGATGTGACCTCCAGAAACCGGCCCTTTCATCCATGTTCCACACCCTTTGCTTCAGTTGTATGGGTAAGTCATTTCCTCAAAGCTTGTCACATCAGGTGCAATACGGACATCTTAAAACTGAATCAGCAACATACACGCTGGAAAAGTCACTGTCAACACTTCCATCTAAAAAAGCACTTACAAATCTTCGCACGTGTGTTTTCTCCTTTTCAAGCCCGGGCTTCGATCTAGAGGCATGCAGTCTGATCTCTCACTCACGGCATCTATTGAAAAGCGAGAACACAACCATTCTTAAAATTAATCCAACCCCCCCCCCCCCCCCCCCACCCCGTCGCACATGTCAGAGGAAAACAATCCAGCAAAAATAATCCAGCAAAAATAATCCAACAACTGACGGGTACCCTGGATTAAAAATACCAAGGTTCCCCCCATACCCCAAACCCAAAGCAAGTGAAGGAAACAGTCGCCGTCTCTTGCATATCCAGTCTCTTGCATGCACAGTCTCTTGCCTGTCACAAGAAAGCAACACAGCCACACAGTGCAAACAGCGAAGTCGCTCTTGACAGTCACTCTCTCCCAGGTGTCTCCCTGGCGCACTGTTGTTGCCCATCTCGGCAACGATGCAGCCTCGCACGGTGACACGTTCGACTCTCGCTGATTGCATGATACGAGCGACGATAACTCGGCAGACCCTACCTTCCCTCCTGGTTGGCCCCCTTCCCTTTCCCAGTGCGAGGACCCTTGTCCTCCCTCACTGCTTTTCTCACAATTCGTGCCACAGCTCCGGTGATCGCTTCACCGTAGGCAAGTGAGCCAGCTCCTCGGGAAGTTGACCTCGGGATAAGGCGTCTGCCCAATCGTTCTGCTCGCTCCACAAATGCAACGCCTCTAGTGAGGCGAAGTGGACAGCGAGGTGTAGTGCCACTTCTTTTGTCACCTGATTGAGAAGGGGCGACTTTGCGGCCCGCTTGACTAGTGCAGCAAGCACGCCTTGGGCGTCACCCCTGATCTGATGAAGCCCTGCTCACCTGGAATGCATCTCAGGTCACTAGGCTCCTGAGCATCATGTAAGCTTCCCACGGCGCCAGTCTTCTTTTCATCGTCTGCTGTCCATTGGAGGGTGAACACCTCGACAGGCTTGCCGGCTCTCAGCTTGACTGCCCCGCCTCCCCATGGTGAAGCGCCTACTAAGAAGTCCAGCCTGCATTGGTGTCTGCTATGTGCGTGGATTGTTCGCTCCAATCCCTCTGCACCACAGCTCCGTAGAAACTTGTGTATCCACTTCAATGCCGGCTCGATCTGTTTGTGGTACACTTGTCCTTAACTTTGCAGCTTCGTCGGACTTGAGGCCATAGCCGCATAGAGCATTCTGACGAACGGCTTCAGTTGTGGGATGAAGCCTGCTGCCCAAGACATTTTGCCAGTAAACTGCTGAAGGATCTTCTTTCCCACCAGCGGCCTTGTGTCCAGCCATTGGAGGAGCGCTCTCCATTCTTCGACCTTCGCTGCTGTCACCGACACTCGCACGAAGCCTGCCTGGTCATCGACTGTCAACTTGGCTCCAATCCACTCAGCCTCTGCACCAATGGCTCCTTTGGTCCAAGCCACCTTCAACCCCAATGTGAGCCACCAAAGCAACACGACATTGAAAATGCTGTTCAACTGTTCTGTTGTGGTTCGGGCAACTATCAATGGATCACCCACGAAGATTTGTAGTCGGCATCTGCTGGTGTGAAATAGTGCCTGCGTTGATCGAGCGATCAGTGCTGCCATCCTCCCCCAAACTAGGGGTCCAGTTTTGATGCCAAACAATACTGTCTTGTAGACAAAAAAGCCACCGAGCGCGCTGCCCGATAAGTACTTGTATTCGTTCTCTCTGACTGTCAAATGTTTGAAAGCGTCAGAGAAATCCAAACTCATGTACAACACTCGCTCATTGGGTGTTCTTGTTTCAAGGAAGTGTAGTGTGTCTTCTAGTGCGTCCTTCAGCCTTGGCAAGACTAGTCTTTCCTTCAAAGTGGTATGCTCATTCACTTGACTGCGTCTGAGATCATGCACCGGTCGGCCTTTGACCGTCCGTCCAACTTGATCTTGGAGATGTACCCGGTGGCTGACGGCACCAACGCACCAAACTTATTCTCCAACTCTGCTCTGCTCTTGGACCAATGTACAAAGCCCTTGTCAACTTCTTTCTGGAACAACGCATCTGCCGCCTCGAGTTCTTCCTCGTAGGACTTGTAGTTGTTCAATGCCCCATCAAGTTCTGCCAACGAATCCAGCCTATCACCTTCGAGCCATAAGGTGTCCTCGTCTATCTTCGGGAAGACGCCACCTTCAGGTATCTCATTGACAATCCCGACGGGCGTGCCTCTTCTCGGCCAGCTTGCCGCTTCACTGTCAGGGTCGCCACTCAGGAGTACCAACTTCCCAAGCAAGGGACCCCAGAGCCCACGCTCATGAGGTCCGCAACCCAAGACATGGCTTACCTTCTGTCTCAACCAGGTTAGCTCCCGCTCTGGCCCAAGCTGGCTTGAAGGATCCTCCAAAGCACGTTGCCAACTGCTCTCCACTTCGGCAATGCCTGCATCGACTGCCAAGGGTTTCTCAGGCCTCCAATGCATGCTTCATTCTCCTGTTCGATCTGAGCTCTTCGGGAGAAGGGGTCTTTGGCTCTGACCTCTTCTTCAAACTTCAACTCCCAGCTGTCCAGCCTCTGCTTTGCGATCTTCAGCTCTCGAACATATGCTCTAGCCAACTCAATGCAAAACCCTTGAGGGCATTCTGCAGCCAATGAAGTCTTGAACACCTTGTTGCCATGGAAATCCAATGTAAACCCCACCAACGGTTCATGTATGTGTGATGGTCTTTGACTTTTGACTTTGCGCCTGCATGTCCGGGGGGGGCAGCCCATTTAGGGCGCAGGCGGGGTGAAACGGCAAACTGTGAGACTTGCACAATTTTATCGATTCAGGCAGTATCCGACGAAGTCATCTGTCATATTCTTCCAAAATACCGCATCGACCGCAACTGGCTTCCAATCTCCCAAGTCACACGCTCCACAGAACTCTTCGAATTTGCTTTCCCAAGTGCGGGTCGGTCGTCCCAACTTCCTGCGGCCCGGGCGGCGCCAGTCCAAAATTCGTCGAGCCCAGCGGTCATCAGGTAAGCGGGCCACATAATGTGTCGGCCAAGCAACAATGCCGGAGGAATCAGCAAATCGTTGAGCCCGCACGTTCCAGCAATGTAGAATTTCGTGCCACTCTTGGTCCCAAGACATCCCTCCAGGAGGCCCAACAATTGTACGTAGTAGTTTGCCGTATTCTGCTTTGATCATCTGCATATCTTGGTGGTGCACAGTCCTGTGCCCAGCACCGAAACAAGCAACCGAACCAACCACGGATTGAAAGAAGTGAAGGCGAGCAGATATGGACACATGTTTGTTGCAAAGAATCCATCGATTTGCAAAAAATGTTTTGTTTGCCTGTTGGAGGTGGAGGCGAATGTCCTGGTTTAGTCCGCTCGATCCTTGTGCAGACAAACCGCAACCCAACCAGTTGTGCCCTGCATCACGGTCCAACACCTTCAACGTAATGCCACCATCAGTTCTCAGCATCTGTGGGGGTTCCGCTTCGGTGGTCAAAACGATTGTTTTTAATGCACTCAACTGAAGACCAACACGGCTGAACGACAAAATAAGTGAGCCCAATAATGACGCAAGTTCTGACGAAGATTTTGCAAACAATAAAATGTCATCGGCGAACAGCAAGTCTGACAGTGCACGGCGACCATCCCCCAAATCAAAAACACCAGACGGATTCTCGGCCCTCCAGCTAGCCATCGCCATTTGCAAAACAGAACAAAAGAGGCGCGGACTCAGACCGATCATGAATTCACGGCTTCGGTTCCAATCGCCCAGCACTTCCCCGAATTGATTGTCGTAAAGGGATTGCAAAATCCCAATGAGGTGAGCAGACACCCCATGATTCGCCAAAGTTTGCCATAATGAAGGCCAAGAAGCCCGATCAAATGCTTTGGACAAGTCTAAACTCACGACCCAACCGGCATGTCATGCGCCGCAGCACTCACTTGGAACATTGCCACAAGACAAAATGTCATTATACAAACGCAACAATGCCACCAAAAGTTCCTGAGGGGCATGCTTCAAAAATTCGGCAACCAGTCCTGCTTCATCGGCTCCGCGTTTGCATTTCATCCGTTTAATTGCAACTTGTAGTTCCTCTATGGTCCACGGGCGTTCGTCTAAAACATCGGGTTTCACAACTGGAGACGGATTCCCGCAAAACAGTTGTTCCAGCATCTCTGCAAAATCAGTTGCCAGTGGCTGGGGGGCCATGTTCTGAGCTTGTGAGCGCGGCAAACATTCTCAACGATTCTCATGAATGGTCTACCCGGACATCTTTTCTCAACGATTCTCATGAAAGGCGCATTGTTCAACCATCCAGTAGGTTTCACAAACCCTCCCATGTATGCACATTGGTCGCCCACTCACAGATATGGGCACAGCCTTTGCCGCACCGGTCGTTGGAGCAACCCTCAGCTGCTCGTGACCAAGCATAGCAAATGTTGATGCCCGCCTTGCTTTTGAAGTACCTGCAATCTTTTCTCTGTGGGTCAAATCCTCCTCCGGTCTTCTTCTTCGGCTGAGGTTTCATCCGTGCCTGCTCATCTGAAGCTGAGGATCCCGGGCCTGGCGGTCTTGCTGGCACTGACTTGGCGGAGTTCATCACATAGAGCATTGCGGGCTTCTCAAACTCCCTCGACCAGAATTCTGAGTGTGATGCACTGGCTCTGATCACTGAGTTCCACGGCTGCTCAGGGATGAATGCCGACAGTGGAGGATGGGTGGCGTGGAAGGCCTCCTGCTTTCTCTTTTCTTGTGACCAGAATTCTGTCCGGCATCTGATGTCCGCTTGAGCCGCCACATGCCAAACATCCGGGTGCTGCAGAACTCTAACTCTGGTTCTGAACTCTGCTGCATACCTGTCCAGCGTTGCTGCCGTGGCCAGTTGTAGCATGATGGCTGCTGTCCTGAAAATCCTCCATGCTTCCTCCCACGCATCGAGGTTCGCAGCTCCAGGCAACTCAATGGCCTTCCATTGACCGTCACGCCATTGTTGGGACACGAAGCGCATTGCGCGTGCTATCCTGCCACCATGTGCTCCCCAAACTCCCATGTCGACGAATGGTGGCTGTCCTGACTGGAGTTTGTGGTATAGGCAGTTCAACTGTGCATCTGTGACTTCCTCCTTCTCCAAAGGATTGTCGCCCTCTGCCAACACAAACTGTGGCCTCATCTTTTGTAACGTAGTTGCTGGCAACATTTCAACTTCATGATCAACACCTTGCTTGATCTATGATCTGACTCATCTTGAGTTTCAACTTCGACCCACTAAGCCCTGTAGCCGTGCCTCCGCTAGCAGGGACGTCCGGTGTGTGGGTCGAAGGTGTTGCGAACAATGAGGGTGCACCATACTTCACTCTAATGGCACTCATCACTAGCCGCCACTGGGCCTTTTCGGTCTCGTGAAGTCCTCTGCCTCCACGTGTGGCGTTCCTCAATGCAGCTTCGAAAACTTCGGCCGGGATCACTGCCAGGATTGGCAGCGACTGCAGGCTAGCATCTCCCAGCTGTCGTGTCACTGCCCGTGCTAAGCCTGCCTCCAGACCTCCCCAAACAGCTGCGTCCGCCAGACCATTCCACGAGTCTATCGTGGCCCTATCAGGGAGCAACCCTTCCATGTTCCCTCACCCCCCCACCTATCTTCGTAGGGGGGTCTCGGAAACCATTGGCCTTGAGCCAAAATGGTACCGAACAAACTTGACCCACCCAACCACCCTAGAGTTTACAACCACTAAATGTTATTGCGGCCATACTGGCCTTCACTACAACCACGTTTCTCCCGACGAATCGCGTGTAGCCGAACGAAGGCAATGGCAAGGCCCAATCGATGGAGGCCAAACACTTCACCAATGCGTTTCCCCCCAGGTAGCTGCAGGCTGCAGGCTATAAAGGCTCCAACTTCTCAATATTTCTCAATGGTGCGGCTATGGATCGGCGTTTTGGTTCTGCAGGGCGCTGGGTCGGCGTTTTGCTTGGCCGGTGCCGGCCCCTTGCTGGTGCAGGCGCTGGCTCTGGATCGGCGGTCCGTTTGCGTCATGCCAGGGACAAGTCATGTGAGGCCCAGAATGACATGATGTCATGGCACGGCACGATTATTGGATTACCCAGAGTCACATCATATCATGCCCAGGGGCGACCAGGTCATGCCAGGGATGACATCATGTCATGCCAGGGACGACGTGTCATGCCATCATGACATAATGTCATGCCAAGATGACATCATGTCATGGCAGGGGCGACATCATGTCATGCCAGGGTTGACATGCCGTCATATTGCGCATGACGGCGTGTTGTGCAGCAATGATCACTGATCATCATGTTGTATGAGCAGCTTTGGTCGGTCCTTGCCGATCTTGCAGTTTTATGTGTGTTGGGCAAGGCGGGCGCATTCAGGTGATAGATCTTGGTCGGATGTTGCGTGCTGCGGGACAGCCGTCCATGGCGTGTCCTTTAAACCTATACACCCGCTATCTGGGGCCTATGCCTATGCCGGTGCAATTTTGGCAGCTCAGAGTGTCCGTCGCGGGCAGTAAGGAAGATGGACCGGCGTGTTGAATAAAACGTTTGTGTTCCGTCCCGCACCGAAAGCAAAAGTAGCAGCGAGTCAGGGCGAAGCCGGGGGCAACCGGAGGTGAAGCGGCCTATGCTGGCAACACGCTTGTTGCGCAACAAAAGCACAGCAAAGTGTTTCTGGAATCGCTGTAGGTTTGCATCTGTATGGTCGTGCGCTTTCTGTTTCTGCTACAAAGCTGGGACTTTATGCTTCGCACGACATGATGCGCCAACACCACAGGCAGTGGCATGTGCCTACCAGCACGGGTGACAATTTTTGCACTTGTGTACCCTGGCTCTCGGTTGCAACGCGTTCCGTTTATGCAGCTCCTGACAGGCAGCAACTGTGCTGCTGCACTTGTGGCGTGTTTTTCTTTCCGTTTTTTTTTTTCGGCGGTAATAATCTTTAGGTAGCTGGTGCTCAGGAAGGAAATATAAATAGGATGAAAAAAACCGGGGCGATTAAACACGGACTTGATTGATTGAAGGATGTTGAAGGCGTCTTCTGTGGTGCGTGATGTCGTGGTGCCGTAGGCAGTGCTCACCGGCATAGCCACCGTGGTCTGTACTTTTGTTTGCATGGCCGAAGCAACTTGTGTCAAGTTGCTCTCTTCCACCGAACATTTGTTGCTCTTGGGGCTCCTCCTTGTAGTAACAAATGACCCGTTGTATTTGCCATACTTGTGGATCTTTGGCATCCACGCGCAGCACATCGCAGCATCCTCCTGGCTTTGGCCCCCTCTGCCCAGTGCAGTGAAGCCACTCTCGCGCCCAGCCTTCTCCACCAAACCAGGGAAAACAGGAGAAGTGGAACCACTAATAAGGATGATGAAGGGGCTGCAGACAAAAACGGTTTCAAGACACGACGGCGCAATATGAATACGGCCATGTTCCTTGACATGGACGCCTCACAACTTCTTGGCCCGGATCCTGACGGAGCATTGCCTTGGGTTCATGGGAGTTACAGGTTTCAGCCACAGGGCGGCTGAATCGGTGGGTTTGTAGCAACTCATCAGCCACAGAACGGTCCAGTACGGACTCAACCTCATGCAGCCTTTCGCCTAAAGATGGACGATGCCCTGGTGCAAAGTGTTCGAAATTCCTTCGGTCCCAACCAAAACGTTTGTTCCACAGGAACCAGCCGAGACTCGTCCACTTGGTCCTTCATTTCCCGCCTTGGCATTAAGAGCCACCAAGTATAACTAGTATAAGCAGTTCTCTGATGTTCTCTGCTTTCATGGTTGCGCTCCTGATCACCACGATAAGAGAAATCGGGCCATCGCATCCCATCATCTGCTCTCACGCTGCACACGTTAAAGTGGCTGGAATGCTTCTGCCAAGGCCTATGGCCGGGCAGGTGCCGAGGCTTGCCTGGGATTGAAGCTTTTGACGCTGCATTTTCCACAGGTCAAATCAGTGTATCGAGGTAGCTAAAGTCCTCTCCCTTCCGCGAACGAAGTCGGTCGGGACAATCTCGATCAAAAAGAAGTGCGCGCGGCGCGGGTTTTCAACCGCAAGGTCGAAAGGTCGTAACCTGCCGTGTCTCAAGGGCCCTGCATTGAGCCAGGACGAACGGATCATCCATGAAATGACATGATGTCACATTCGTGCATCAACATGGGAGAAGAGGTTTTCTTTCTTCAAACCTCTTTGGAGAAAATTCAAAAAGGAAGTTCGGACATGTTGGACGTCCTGCTCAAGGGCCTTGCAGGGAACAAGTCTAATCCCTGTGAGGGTAAAATTCATCACTGTGCAACCAAGCTCCATGCCGATTCCATGGAAGCTGCACATACTGAGCTGGCACCTGATCCCGGTCATAATGAGTCGGGGTCTGGCTTTGACGGTCTTTCAGCTCACCATCCAAGTAACGCTGAGCCTGCGTCTTTCTGCCCTGATTGGTCTCATTGGCCAGCTTCAGTTTCTTGACCTCATAGTTCAGCTCGCTTGACGTGACCATGTAGTCGTTCATGAAGCGAATCCATTGTTGGACTTGGTGGTCACTGAAGTCACTCGTGGACTTGACCGACAGGAGCTCCTTGAATCTTCGGCAGCGATTTTCCGCTCTGTCCTCGCTCACGATGAACGCTCTCATGGGATGGTCAAGTCGAGCATCACGTGGATTTTCCAGCATCTCCTTGATCTTTCGCCATTTCTTTTGTTTCTCTTCTCCTTCAACTTCTTCTTTGAGTCTTTGCCATCGATCCCATTCTCCTCGTCCCACACATGACTCGGTGGAACTTTCTGAGCTCTGGTACTCGTCATTCTTGGCCTCCTCGGTCTCCTCAAAGTCATGTCCATCTCCAACCACGCCATGGCTCGAACCTAAGGTTACGACCGGACCTTGGGTTGAGGAATGCGCTTCCTCTTCGGCTGCCACAGTGAACTGAATCTTCACAAACACAAAGACCTGGTGCAGGAACTTGCATATTCCAAAAAACGAAAAACCAAGCATCACGATCACTGTGTAGACAAACGTCCAGTCGAACGAATCGGTTCCGGAGATCTCTGCAGCCTTAGCACCTGGCATCGAAGCAAGTGCCAACGTGGTCATAGCAACCTTGGCTGCTTTCTGCCATACCTCCTCACGAGGTTGTGAACAGTGCAGGTGCTTGTAGTAGTGACGTCGGCTGCAGTATTTGGTTTTCTTGCCATTGAGGATCGCCACATCTTTCTCGCATCCGGGTAGGTGACATTGGCAGGGCTTCTTGTTCTCTTCATCTCCAAACAGGATCTCCTGCCCAAAGAGCTGCTTAGCTGCTGCTTCGTGCTCTGCCAACTCCTTCTCCTTTTCATCCTTCGTCACCTTCTTTGCTGCGGTGTACGATGGATCGTACTTGAGCTGGTGGACTCCTCTCTTCAGCTGCAGCACGAAGTTGTCTCGAGCTGACGGTTTTGTCAGCCCGTCGGCCAATTGCTGGGCCGAATTCACCCATCGCCAGTAGCCAGCCATCGCCTCCATCCTTTCTCTAACGATGGCCACTTCAATGGCCGTCCTCTTCTCCGCAAGTCGAAGTCCGGAGGAGACAGACTTTGCCGAGTCAAACAGGCTCTTGGCGTCGGTGATCAGGGGCGTTTCACCAAACAACCGAAGCGTGTCGTCCTTCTCGATCTCAATGAAGGGCTGAACCATACTTGCAGCAAACACCTTCACCCATTCGGCTTCATCCACTGCTCCTGCTGCAGATTGAGCTTCAGCACTGAGAGACGGGCGACACATTCGAGGAAGTTTTCTCGATTGCCAGTCGATGATGGTCAATGGAAAGGGACGTTCGCTGTCTAGCTCCATGGCCGTGGCGATGAAGATCAGGTATCCTCCTTGCGAGGATCCATCAGGCCTGACACTCCAGGATGCGTCACAGTAGACACCAAACCTCAGCTGCTCAGGACTTTCTCCGTGTTTTCGGAGAACCATCACATACTCCTTCACAATCTCCTTGGCAAACCTGAGGGTCTTATTGGTGCTCAGACAGTCCTGGATGGTCGGTGCACTGGAGCTAGCCTGGTGAATGCTTACTGAAGCAGCCAGAGGCGGTAGGCATTGTCCAGAAGGCCAGGCTAATGCTCCGATCAAAGCTCTGAGATGCTTGTGCTCCGAACCCTCCAAAGGTGCATCCGAGTCCCTTTTCGTGCCTTCTCAACTGGAATCGGCTTCAGCTTTGTGATATACTCCTGAAGAGAGAGCGTGATGGAGTCGTTGTTCATGCTTTGCTGAATTGCCGTGCCACAGAACATCAACTTCTCATGTTCGCCAAAGTCCCAGGTTCCAAACCGGAATCTCTGTGACAACATTCGCACTCGACTGGCGAAGTTGATTGGCTCTTCACATTCGATCTTCTGGGACTGACTGACATCGCCCACACGAGTGATTCCTTCTCCTGCGCCCAAGTAGTCATCGACATGCAGACCTAAAATGCCGTCGACCACAAAGACTTCACCATCTCTGTGAACTCGCTGGAACTCAGGATCGTGCTCAGTGGCCTTCCTCAGGGACAGGTATAAGCAGCGGTCGAGTGGGTGATGCACAAAGAGGCATTCATTCACCATGAAGCTGTCTGCAGTACTGTAC